GAATTCGTTTCGGACCATGATACAACTCCGGATGATGAAAGTGGTTCTTGTTTGGACGATCAGTGATTTTCTGGCGTATGGCATGCTATCGGGATGGAGCATACATGGAAGACTTGCATGTCCGTTTTGCATGGAGGAAACCGAAGCGTTTCAGTTGAGACATGGGAGAAAGTCGTACTGGTTTGACTGTTATCGCAGATTTCTTTTAAGGAATCATCCATTGAGACAAAATTGTACGGTTTTTACCAAAGGTAAAATCGTTACTCAGGAAGGTCCTGTTATGCAAACCGGAGAGCAAATTTATTCTGAACGAATAAATAGTGGATATTTGGATGATTTGCAAGCTTCTGTGCAATGTGGAGGTAATTTTGGGCATAAGAAGTGCAAAGGATTTGGTGATTGGCATAACTAGTATAAGCGTAGTATTTTTTGGGATTTGCCTTACTGGAGTTCGCTAACGCTTCGACACAATCTGGATGTTATGCATATAGAGAAAAACGTTTTTGATAACATCATCAACACCGTTCTGAATGTGCCAGGGAGAAGTAAAGACAACATCAACTCGAGGAAGGACTTGAAAGATATATGCAAGAAAAAAGAGTTGGAGTTGACACGTGATGGTCACGCACCAGTGCCGATATTCAGACTCACAAGACCAGGTAAAACGGTCTTGTTTAAATGGTTAAAAGAATAGGTTAAATTCCCTGATGGATATGCATCCAAATTGGCGCGATGCGTTGATACTGATTCATTAAAGCTTATGGGAATGAAGAGTCATGATTGCCATGTATTCTTGCAAAAACTCATTCCTATTGCATTTGTAGAGCTATTGAAACCCAGTGTCCACAGAGCTTTATGTGGTATTAGCACATTCTTCCGAGATATATGTGCAAGATCTCTGAGAAGAAGTAACCTAGAGGTTTTGAAAGGCAACATCCCTGAGATACTTTGCGCCTTGGAAAAGGTATTTCCACCTTCATTTTTGGATGTGATGGAATATTTACCTATTCATTTACCAGATGAGGCGATATACGGTGGTCCAGTACAGTTTAGATGGATGTATCCATTTGAGCGATTTTTTTTCCATCTCAATAAGAAGGCAAAAAACAAAGCAGCAGTGGAAGGATCTATCGTCAAACAGTATTTGTTAGAGGAGATCTCCTACTTCAGTTCTTTCTATTTTGAATCTCATATTCAGACGAAGAAAAGGAGGGCTACCAACGAAGACGATAGAAGTTATCTCTACCAATATGATTCATGTTTCGGACTTATTCCCGAAAGTTTTTAACCTACTGGACGACTCGGAGGCAAGTCTGAAGAATATTGATTAACTGTACAAGAGTACAATCACATCGCCACATATATATTGTTGAACTGTGAAGAACTTAAGCCATACGAAAGGTACACATTTTGAATCTCAAATGACTTCATTAATGAATTAATTATACATGTATATCTTTCCTAATAACATGTTTTTAAGACTTTTTGACGAGGATGTCTTGGCAACATATCCTAATCTAAGTGGAGAGAAACTTGAAGGAATGAAGGAACAACATTATGCATCTTGGCTTCGAGACTATGTAAGTACTATATATATATATGCATGTGTTTGTGTTTTTATTAGTCATATCGAAGTAATTAATTTAATATATCATATCGATTTTATGCGCAGATTCAGTCATGCAGTGATAGAATTCCGGCATGGATCAGAGATATATCACATGGACCTGGGAGAAAAGTTATTTGTTGGTCGATAATGTTCACCCGAGGATACACGTTTCACACTTACGATCATGAAAAACATAAATCCACGTTCAATTATGGAGTTTGTATAAAAAGCGGGTCATCTGAAGATCTTGATTTCTTTGGAGTTCTTCGGCAGATTTTCCAACTCCAGTATCCAGGATTAGTCGGGTTGAAAACAATCATATTCAGATGTGATTGGTTTGACACAACGTCGGGACGCGGCTCACGAAAAAATTGATGGGGAGGTGTTGACATAAACCCGAAACGTTCATATGCAAAGTACGATCCTTTTATACTTTCAGATCAGGCAGACCAAGTATGCTTCATTCCATATCCGAAACATTCTGCGACATCCGTGAAACGACGACGGAAAGATCAATGGTCGGCTGTTTTGAAGATTAACCCACGAAGATTAATCGTGGATTCGTCGACAACACAAGATCTCAATGAGCCAATGCAAGAGCAACTCGAAGATCCGGTTCTTCCTATCCAACTAGGTGATTACGACGATACACTTGCACTTCCTAACATAGACGACGAGTTACTTGACGATTCGTCAAATGTACAAGACGATATCGACGAATTCGTTTCGGACCATGATACAACTCCGGATGATGAAAGTGATGAAGATTCTATGTAGACTTGTTTCTTTTTATTGTTTTCATATTTATTTGTATTTTGAAGAATATTTTCATATTTATTTGTTTCGGACCATGATACAACGGGCATTCCAACGGACATCCGTTGGAACCACCTATAAATTCCAACGGATGTCCGTCACAAATAGCGTTGCAAATGTCCAACGCACGTTTCCAACAGATATCCGTTATATTTTTCCAACGGATAGCCGTTGTAAATACCGTTGTAACATTCCGACGATGATTCCAACGGTATTTCCAACGGATATCCGTGGCAAACGCCGTTGTAAATCCGTTAGAAATTGTCTAACGGATATTCTAACGTATATCCGTGGAAAATTTGCCACGGATTGCCCGTTGGAAATCCGTTGGAATTATACCACGGAATTATCCGTTGGAAACCCGTTGAAATATTTCAACGGATTGTTTCGTTGGAATTCCGTTTGGTAATTGCCACGGATTTCCAACGGAATCGATTTTCCAACGACGTTTTTCCAATGGATTTTCGGCATTTTCCAACGGATTCGCCGGTTGGAATTTGGGTTTTTTTTTGTAGTGAACGTGCAAAGCAATGACGTGCGAACTACCGAATGACTACGGAATGGAAACAACAACGGCAACACGCAACGGACAGAAGATTCAAGCACTTAAAATTGATCAGCAAACACGTCAAACAAGCGTGCAACAGACGGTGGTATGAGACAGTAGCAATCGTGCGATGGAAGTCACAAAACGTGCGAAACGATTAAACGTGCAATCGATTATCAATCCTAATACTTGCTCCTATCAAACGTCTCACTCACCAATACTCAAATATTCAATCGAGTTGATACACACGCAATGAACAAATTCGATCACACACAAAAAAAGCAATGCAAGCAATGGGTGGGGAACGAGTTAACCGAGGATAGGCGGCTTCGAGTGAACAGTCGGAACTCATTTGCTCCAGCCTAGTAAATGGACCACTTGCTGCGAACAAAAAGCCAAGAGTGATCAGGTTATACAGTCGAACAAATACGAAAGAAAAATTGCAAACGAATCACATGGAACAACACAACCGAACGCATGTGCCGGGAATCCGATTGATGTGCAGTTTTCGTCGCGATCGAACGAGGCTTCAAAGGATTCATTTTTTAGCGATAAAAAGAAAGATCTCACCCGGAAAACGTCTGTTGGCTCGAGCAAAGCTCTGATACCAAAATGATATACGCAATGCTGTGGAAGAGGATGGATCTGCGGCTTGAACACGCAATCACCGCCTCATTATGTGGCTCTCGAATTCACGGTTCAAACAAGAAGAAAACAAGGGGAAATCAAACGGGATTCAAATCCAATCACCGGCTCACCAAGTGGCTCTCGAATTTGGGTTAGAATCAAAAGGTGGGATGGATAAATCGAAGGATAGAACCTCGGAAAAACCAAGGAAAGACGAGTCGGCCTAACCGAGCTCCAAGGGGACCGTCGGACACACCGGACGGCGACATGGGCGGCGGACACACCGGCGGCTCGTGGAGGGTGGCGGACAAACCAGCCAAGTTCTTTTGAGAGAGAGAGTTCTCAACAAAAATACAGATTTTGATTGATCAAAGTGTTGATGATTACAAAGCTTGGAAAGAGTTTAAGTAAACAAAGCATTAAATGCTAGCTCACATGCAAGCCTAGTCATAAATAAGGATCAAACAACAAAATATAGTTGTTGGACATTATGTGGGCCGAAAATCCTTGAGTAAATAAGGCCCATGGGCTTCACTCGGCCTTAAGAGACGTCGTCTTCGAATGTAAGTAAGTTCCGGGTCAGATTTTGTCCGAAAAGTGAAATGTCATCCTTGGACTCCCGGGATCCGCTAAGAATGTGATTGACGGCCTTGGTGAGCATGACACGAAGCGCTCAAGCTCTAGCACGAGTAAGTGGTGGCTCGGCTCTATGGTTTGCTCGAGGAGCCTTCGCGTTGTGCACGTCAAATCCCGTTCTCGCGGCTTCGAATGATCTTGTGACGTTATGATCATCCGACAAGAGTCTTGACGCCTGATGGGCCAAGTCTTCAACATCTTCTAGAGCTCCTTCTGTAAAGCTCTCATCCTCGTCCAAGCTGCTAGCTCCGATGTCCTCATTACTCTCAGATGGGCTGATTGGCACAATAGGAATTGCCTGATTTTCGGAGTTCGCAACAACCGAAGGCATTCCTCTGGGACAACAACATTCGCAACGTTTGACACTTGATTATTCATATTTGTGCCAGCAACATCATGATTAACAGGATTCGTAACCTCCGCTATATGAGGATTCTCATCGATATTCATAGCAGGAATCTCATTTCCTGGAGTAGTATTTGAATCCATGGGATTTCTTGGATTATCAATGATATGTGGAATAAATACAATCATTGTTAGCTTTCACAAAGCTTATAAACTAAATTGAGTTTCACTTAACTTATAAATTGGTTTAGCTCACTTCCAGTAATAGCCGGAGGGTTCACCCCGATTCCCACGTCCTTATTATGATGAGGGTATAAAGGGTTTCCTCTTCAAATCTGACCCGCTAAGACAAAGTTTGCTTCCCTAATTCACAAAAAAAGTTACGTCCGATTTTGTTTACCTAAACCTTTTTTTTCCCAAAATAATGTTCAAAATTTTTTTTCCACAAAAACACTTTTGAATAAAAGATATATTGATCTTTCTCTTATGAATTTTTAGACTAATCTCCTTAAATTGGACCAAAATAATTTTTAATTCTGGACTTATTCTTTTGGCCTTTTCAATTAACCTCTTTGAATTTAATTTGGACTTCAATATGGGCTAAACTCTTTGAATTTAATTGGGTTAATATTCAATATTAAATTTGGGTCTTAAATTCAACTGGACTTAGACTCGTTAATATTTGGACAAGAAAACAACTTTTTGGTTTTTTTTTCAACACTTTTTTTTTTACCTAGTTGTTTTTTAGATCCAAATTCGTGTAAGGTTTTATACCGAAACTGAAAGAGATTTAGACACTTACCCGAGAAGTTTGCCTCGTGTTAACCATGAATCGAACTTAAGATTGTTAGGGACGATGGTTGTTGATGACGGCAAAATTCCGGCAATTCGAATGATTCCAGATAAGTACCTGAAATAAAAAATTATTTTGTCGAGGCCTGTGAAACACAGTTTTTTTAAGTTCGATTTTCGTGCCACCTCTAAAGCTTAGAGACTATTGGAGCACAGTGAACTCACAGGATACAACAACCACGTATTCGGAAGAAGCTTTCCAAATAGCAAGCGAACTCTCAAAGAGATATGAACAAATATATGAATGCTCTTTTTTTTTTCTCTAAAATGCTTGTTTTTTTCTGTGTTGAATGATCTAACCCAAGACCTCTATTTATAGTAGATGGAAGAATCTCAAAATAAAATCAATTTGATTTTCAAATTCAAATTAGATTTTATTTTGATATTATCTCGATCATATTTGATAGGTTTTCTGCATATTTGAATCCGATTTGAATTTCAAAATCAATCAAAAATATTTTCTCAATATTCTGTCGATTTTTATTAAAGTTTCTACAACTTTTCACGGATCGGATTTCTCACGGACTAGGCCCGTTTTGATTCAATCAAATAAACCCAAATCCAACATTCACCGACATGCGACATGGGATTGTCTGTGAGTGGTCCCGTGGAAGCTCTGCGCCCGAAAAGAAACGAGAGGAGGAGCTCCGTTCTCGGTCAGAAGCTAAAGACGAGAGCTGTTATTCAGACACCAACAACAAGCCTGATGGAACTCCGCGCGAGATTCCTGTCGGAAAAGGCTTGTCTAGTTCGTTAAAACTTCTTCGAGAGCGAGGAACACTGAAGGAGAACAATCTTGAGGAGGTTAGAATCGACAGAAATCTGAGAGCGAAGGAAGCTTACAGGATGTTTTGTCACAAGTTCCATGGGAAAACGAGGCGAGGGAAGTGGATGAAGAAGACCCGCCGCCATTGAAGAACGAGAGATGCTTTCCAGCTAAGACATCTGGCAATTCGTGTTGACTTTCTTCAGTTCTGTTATGTTTCATCGAGGTTGTCATTTTGATTTTTTCTTTGGATTCCATTACCAGATTTTTAAATCTATATTTCGATTTTATATTACATTTGATTCAATTTGAATTTGGATTTAAATCATGCTCTAGTTTTTTTAATTGCTTTTATATAAATTTCTATTAAATTTTCGATTTAAAAAAAAATAATGATAACTATTCAATTTTTACTTTGCATTTTACAGTTGCTTGATATAAATATGAAATGGCTATTCGTATTTCAATGAAAAACAAAGTCGTGGTCGCGTTTGATTCCGTCAGTGGTTAATGGAATGGTATTATCTATATCGAAAATGTATTATCAAATTGTGAAAAAAATAAGAATAATTATAACATAAACAAATGGTGTTCCTTTTATTACTGTGATATTTTTCAAGTAGGAATAATTTAATTAATTATTTTTTAATTTTTGCATTAGATAATTAAGAATCCACATCGTTATTAATTTATTTTAACCAAAGTTTTATTTTATAATTTTTTTTTTCTTATGTTACATCATTATGGCTTATCCGATGTATATTTCCAACTGTGTCATAATTGATTTTTATACAATAAAAAAGCCGACTAGTCATATTTTTAGGATATGTCCTTTTTAAAAAAAAACTTTAAATACACGAATAGACAAAAATGCCCTCATGATTTCATCGATGTTTTGTTTACTAGCGAAAAAGGAGTCTTTCTTTAATTCCGTGAGATTAAAAACCCTAGGCGCTGTGTTTCTGTCGATCGCTCTTCCTGTCGTTCCCGCCGATCTACTCTCTCCGGCAACGGTTTCGTCTCTCCGGCGTTGTCTCGTCCGAAACAGGTGAGTGACCATGATTTTTCCACGGTCTCGTCTGTCCAGTGTTGTCTCGTCCTGATTTACTTTGATTCTGGTTTCACGTTTCGTCGTTGTTTTGTTCGTCAATCGCTTTTGGTATGCGATTTTTGAAATTCCGAGTTTGGATGATGTTAAAATTGAAAGAGTCTCGTAATCTTCGTCGTTCTCTGCGGGAACAGAGGCATCGAAAGAGCTCAGGAATTCGAGGGCCCTCCAACATATCCTCGTCAATCCGACGGTGGCTCCACATTCACCGCATGTAATTATATTTTTTTAGTTGATTAATAAAATTTATTGATAAGAATTTCCCAAACTTGTAAATTTCAATGCTCCAACCCAAGTTTATTTCATCAGTTTACCACAAGGCAGAGATTTAACCAGCATATTTCATCCTATTAATTGACTTCTAACAAGTTGATATTCGATTATTTGGCAGTAAGTTAAGGAAAGACTCTACATTTACTATCAACATGTTGTCTGGAATAAAAATCATTCCTCGCGAGGAGGTAAATTTGCTCATCTTGTTCCTAAATTCTCTGTTTGTTATTCTTTTCGAACGAAAGATTGGTTCGTTCAAGCTTAGATTGATGTTAACTTATCTGTTCAGGTGCTAGATGAGAATTCACACAAAGATAAAGGGGAATCCAGTAGTGGGAGAGATAAGAGAAAAAATCACAGAGACAGGGATGGCGGTAGATGTCGTAAGGCTGAGGTTGCTGTTGACAACACACAAGAAGTAGAGATTGTAAGGAAGAAAATTGGCCTTGATTGGATGCTCCCGTCAACCCGAAACACAGACTCAAAACCCAATTTAATCGAAGAGGAAAGTCCAGCCAAGGAGGTATGCCATAGCTCATCTGTCTTTTAGACTCATGCTTCTGTGTATTCTGACCATATTATCTGATCGCGGAAGTGGATGGTTAGCTTATGACAAATTTCTTTCTCAACTAGGTAAATAAGGTGAACCCCAAGGAACTCAATCCTTATCTGAAGAACAATGGAACTGGTTATCCCGAGGAAGGAGATGAAAAAATAACTATTGGAGATCGACTTCCTTCGACATCCCTTGTTGGTGATGGAGGTGCGAGCTGGCGACTTAAAGCTCTTAAGCGTGCTAAAGAGCAGGCTGCCAGAGAAGGGAAACGCATTGAGGAGGTAGGCTAGTTATAATTACTCTGTTCTCAAACTCCTCCTTTTGAAAACCATTTCATTGTTTGAGGGTAATGCAGGTTGTAGAGGAACGGTGGGGTTCCCTTGGTAAGCTTGCTGTCTCAGTATCCTCTCAGACAGCAGCTCCGTCTCGTGCCCATCTGCATGCCATAAAAAATAGAAGAAAAGGGCATAATGAAGAGGCTGATATGGAAAAACAAGAAGAAAGGGTTTCTGAGAAGGTACTTAAACTTGTTATTGTTTTCCTTTTATTTTTTGTGCTTGTGTTGTGTTACAAAAATAATATCATTTTAAACTGGAAAACATGATAACTAATGTTATGATTCTGTGATGTGTTTTTCGCTTTAAAGAGTAGTGGTCGGGCTTATTTGAGGGACGTCTCTCTGCGTCATCCAGAAATGAGAGCCCCAAAAGCTGACTCTTCACTATCTTGGGGAAAGCGGAAGGGTCAAGCCCAGATAAATGAAGATGCTGGGCTGATATCCGAGGCTGCATCTCGCTTAAATAAGTTTGCCAATGATGGAAACTTCATGAAGGAAATGATGTCTAAGCAGAGAGCCGAAACAACTGCCTCCACTGGTACAGAGCAGAAGACAGTATCATCTGAGTTCAATAAGCCTGATGAGGGGACTTCTTCTTCTGGTAAAGAGGCAATGAGCGCGAATCAAATGGCAGCTAAGGCATTACAGCTGCGGATGAAAGGGAAACACGAAGAAGCGCAGAAACTTATGGTGAGAAAATCTTTAAGTTTAGTAATATCCTCTCACCTTGTTCCTGTATCTATTTTTGAAACCTTTTAAACTCACAAAGTTCTGTGTTCAAGTGTAAGCTCTGAATTTTAACAACTAACTGTGGAAGAGTTTTCCTCTATGCTTTCCCAGGAGGAAGCAGACAGATTGAAAGCAAAGCAGGCTATTGGAGATGATTCTTCCAAAGAGCGCGGATCCAGAACTGCAGCAAGGTAAATTTGCTCATCTATTGAAGCTTTTACCGATATCAGATCGTATTCGGCTCGTAATTCTCTCTCTCCGTTTCTTATAAATACTTTTGTTTTCACTTCAGATATGCCGTCCAAGATGTGAATGCTAGAAAGAGGGGTGAAGAAGATAACACAGATAGACATTTAGCCAGAAGCATAATGCAGAACAAACGGTACAGTGTATCCGGTCAGGCTGATGATGAGTATGACTATGGAGAGGCTCCAAGTAAAAAATCCAGAAAGAGGGGCTCATCCAGTCATGATCACAGTAACATCTCTGAAAGGGATAATCGCGTAAAACGCATCTTGACCCAGCAAGAGCGTTGCCTCTTCTGTTTCGAGAATCAAAACCGCCCAAAACACCTCGTCGTATCAATCGCAAACTTCACGTATCTGATGTTACCACAGCGGCAGTCCGTTGTGCCAGGCCACTGCTGTGTCTTGCCAATGCAGGTATTGACATTGAACATATAAATTCAACCTCAATTGGTTCACAATGTAGGTGCTCTTAGATTGCGTTCTGATGGGTTTTTTCCATACAGCACGAAGCAGCCATGAGGATGGTGGACGACGATGTTTGGGAAGAGATCCGGAATTTCATGTTTGCAAAACAAGGGAAAGAGGTTGTGTTTCTGGAGACAGTGATGGGTTTATCGCAGCAACGCCGGCATTGTATGATTGAGTGTATACCGTTGCCTCAGGATATCGCAAAGGAAGCGCCTCTTTATTTCAAGAAGGTCAGGGTTCTGTTTTATTATATCCCTCCTCCCTCCATTATCTTGTTAGTGGAAGTATTGGGTTTCTTACTCTTAGTTAGCTGTATGAAAACCTTTCAGGCCATTGATGAGGCTGAGGACGAGTGGAGTCAGCACAACGCGAAGAAGCTAATCGACACAAGTGTGAAGGGTCTCCGGAACTCGATTCCAAAGGATTTCCCGTACTTCCACGTGGAGTTTGGCCTAAACAGAGGGTTTGTCCACGTGATCGATGATGAGAAACAGTTCAACGGGAATCTCGGGATGAACGTCATCAGAGGGATGCTTCAGTTGCCGGAGGAAGACATGTACAGACGGAGAAGGTACGAGACCGAGGAGTCCCAGAAGCAGGCGATGGTGAGCTTCTCCCGTGAATGGGAGCCCTTTGACTGGACGAAACAACTCGGGTGAAAGTGAAAGATCTCTCGTGCTTTTCTAGTCACATTCTGGCGGGGATAATGTTATAGTCATTATACAATGGGAGGATTCGGCAGCTGTACGTATGGTTCATTGCTGCGTTTTCTTTTTTAATCTTTTTTAATCTTTCCATCATGTGGTGAGTCAAAAAGTACTGGTAAAGGAGAAATTGATGGACTTGTCTGTGCTCGCGTTTCGGATTTTTCAATTTTATTTAGAAAAAACCCGTAATTGCAAGCATTTTGTATAACTGTAGAATTTTAACAAATTTCTTACTGTCAAGGCCGTTTGCTCACAAAGAGCATCCGCAATCAGAGAATTGCCTGATTAATCGGGAAATGGATTCTTTCGCGGCACCACGTGAGAAATTTTAAAAAAAAGAAACAGACAAACAGAGATACATATGTATACACACACATACATGCATAATTTGATAAAAACACGTATATGCACATACGTATGTGATTTTGTATGTGTTCGTATATACATATGGGTGTGGTTTCCGTGTGTGTACATATATTTGTAATTTTTTTCTCAACCCCGTAACCGAAGTGCTTCACTACCGGTAAGGAGGGGAAAAAACAGCTGAGTGATTCATTCATATGCGAATCAATCGTTTGAATCATAGTATGCGTACTCTATACGTTATGTGTGGAATATCGTAAATCAAAACGATTATTACATTAATTAACTCGTAAAGATGCGCAAGAATCAATCAATAATCATTTTTATCTGTGACTAATTAGACAACTACGACCTACTACAACACAAATTGTATGTAGCTTAGTAAATAAGTGAACCAATCAACCTATACATACATACATATATATATATATATAGTACACGTATGTATGGATGTATACAAAAAAAAAACACGAGGCGGGTTTAGGGACCGGTTGAGATGTGGTCGTCGTTCTGGCGATTCTTATCTCTTTCCTTGACATCAACACTTGCGGTGATGTTGGCCGGAGCTGATTCGATATCTCCGATGGATTTTTGCCGGAGACGGGGTCCGTCCGCCGGAAAATCTTGGCCGCCTAAGTCTCCTCTTCCCGGAAAGTTGTTGAGTTGTCCAGATTGCTCATTCTTTCTCTTCGCCTTCATGTGCCATTGCTTTAGTGCCTTTGATGTTTGCTCGTCGAACACCGATCGTTTCATCGTTGAACCCATCTGCAAATATTTTCAGTTTTTTTTCCCTCTATTAGATGACTGATGTAAGAGTTTTCAAATGTGGGTTTATGGCAGAGATATGTGATATATATATACACACACACATAGAGGAAGTGTAATGTGAGTTGGACCAACCTGAGTGACAAGGGCATATAGAGGAAGTGTGATGTAACTGCAGAGGAACTGAACTCCGACGCTGTAAAAGGGTAAGAATATTGACTCGTTAGACAAGCATGGAAACCTTTCACGGTGCCTTGTATCTGAAGAAACCGGACTTCCTAGGTTACATATTTGAAGATCTGGAGAAAGGGCAACTTACCCAAGACAGACTCGTGCGATTATAAGACCGAAATGGTGATGAAAACACGATCTCAACCCAAACTCATACTGCACCAAGATTCAGTAACTCATCCTTCAACTTCACGCCAGAAAATGAAAAAACGAAGAGCAAAAGAAGAAAAGAAAAAGAATAAAGAGAGTGGTTTATGTTACCCATATCCAGAAGAAGTAAGTAATCTCGAAGGCATTCTGAAAATTTCACAACGAACAAGTCAAATTTTCATCTGCGAGTCTTTATATTTTATTTGTTAACACTAAGACTGTGAATATGTTTTCAATCTTGTAACAATTTTCAGTGATCAGAGGATGCTAAATGCATGCTGTAGACATTTTTTTTTCCAGGGGAAACGTACCTGAAAGAGCACGAAATGGATCATATGAAGGACTAAGGCGGGTTTCCCGAACCAGAAGTGCCTGTCTGAGACATTGACAAGAGGCATCCCTTGGATCACGGCGTGTCTCTCCTGAATTTCTAACGCCATGTCTGATATGATGGCTTGAAGCTTCGTTCCGATGGCTAATGTCAACTTCAGACCAACCATCACAACATTTAATCGCTTTCGTTTCTATTCCTTCTTGCGGAAAAAGGGTTATTTGATAGAGTAAAAATCACTTACAGTTGGAGGAATCATGGTGATAACAGCCGTTATGTACCACCCTGGAGTCGTATTTCCCAGAAAATTAGTGTGTAGGCATCGAAGATGGACGAATACAAAAGGCGAAAAATGAACAGAGAACTGTATATAACTAATGTATGGTGTTTTGTACATGAGGGGGAAAAGGGACTGACCGTGGACATCGAAGAGTAGAAAGAGCATGACAAAAGCCCATAGCGGAGGGCTGTCATTACAAGAATGATTATAGGTTGTATCAGACCACAATGGATGGAGATTGTTAAAGCAGCAAAGACAAGATGTAGAAACAAGTGTCCGAGGTTCCATGTTACCTTATTCCTACGACTACCTTGAAGTCGTCTTCCAATGATCTTTTGATGTATTTTTGAAAATTGAACTTCATTCCGGGAGCCAGATGAACCTGATCGCAAAGGATTGTTAGAAAAAACCTCAGAAAAACTATCAAGATGGGATGGACAGTTTCAAGTAACTCACACTAATGAACCCATGTCGCATTGTTAAATAGTCAGATTTTCTGACAGACCTGACTATCTGTCGGAAGAAACAGATCTGAAAAAAAGAGTAGCAACATTGGCTTTCGAGTAAGTGAGATGCCAATGGATCAAATCAAGAATTGCACATTTGGAATCTGCGTAATCGTACCATGTAGAAGGAGAATCTATTTCTCGTCCAAGGATTGACGTGCTCTCGGACAAATGATGTCTCGTGTGTGAGCCTAAACCTTGAAGGGTCTGCAAATACATATATGCATGCAAATAAGAGTGTCAAATCCAAGTGTAGTTACATGGTTAGTCATTGTGACAGTATCTACAATCTACCGTTCATCATTTCTTGCTCGGTCATGATCTCTTGCTCCCACTCTTT